GTCTCAGCATGGTCTCAGCAGCAGAAAAAGAATAAAAAGAAGGAAATCACTTGTACGTGGTATTTAGAATAACTGGTTGTAGAAATAGAATGGTTTGCGAAGGAGATACCTAGATCATCCTTGGCCCCAGAGTATAGGAGAGAGATAAAGAGAAATTGGGTGCCGAGGGTATAGGGAAGAAGAGCTAGGGGTATATGGTGAAAGGGATTTGGGTGCATCTGGTTGTTAGGGAATGATAGAGCTAAATATTCAATCAACAGAGTCAACAATATTAAAACAAAAGACCCAAATTTTAATAGCCAAAATTAAAATGGTGCCTGTCAGTATGGCAATATGGGAGAGGAAAGTTGGGAGAGAGAGCCTAGGAACACTGGTGGAGGGAAGTTGACACTGGTGATGGGAGCAATTCTGGAATATTGAATTTCTAAAATCTAACTATGAGTAACTTTGTAAATCATGGTATTGTAATAAAATAACTTTTAAAAAGAAATTCACACTGAGAACTCCTGACCAAAAGTTAGAATTCAGTAGCAGTTTCTATAGTGGCAGCAGATAATATCCCTCCCTCCACAAACCTTCCCCAGAGACCTTCCTGACAGTGAGGGGGTGGAGAATTTGTGGGGAAACAAAAAGAGTGAAGTGGAAAAGAAGCACCTTCAGACATCAGAAGGAACTATGGTAAAGTGGTGTAGTACCAAACTTTGTGTACTTTGTGTTGTGGTTGAAGAATGTATTCATGAAGACTTATTCAGTAATATCCATCTGCATAATCTCTATAAAAAGAATTTCAGAGTTGAAATTCTTAGGATGTTTAACAAGTTCAAAGAACTAATAGAATGGACAGCAAATAAAACACAGGAGGATAGGATAGCAGAAATGAAAAGAACTACAAACAAAAATGACAGAACTAAAAATTCTGGTAGGAGAAATGAAAAATTCACTGGAAGGTCCCACCAGTAGAGTAATGGCTGGTAAGGATAGAATAAGTGACCTCCAAGATAAAGTGCAGAAAATTCCAAACACCAACAGAAGATGGGAAAAAGACCACAAAATAAAAGAACCAACAAGAGAAATTTGATATGAACTCAAGAGGAATAACATAGGAATCATCAGGGTCCCAGAGGGTCAGGCAGACAACCTCAATGAAGAAGGAACAGTCAAACACATCATCCCTGAGAATTTACCAAAACTGGAGAGTACATGCACCCAGATCCAAGATGCCCTAGCTAAGAAAAGTCTAAACAAATATTTTTCAAGACACATCTAATCAGAATGGCAAAAACCATAGAAATAGAAAACTGAAAGCAGCAAGATCAAGTGAGGAAAGTATATATATACAGGAACATCCTTGAAAAATGGAAAGCCCATATCAACTGTATTATAAACAACTTTGTAAATACACAGTGCTTTAATAAAATATTAATAGAGGATAATTCTTAATATTTATTTATTTATTTATTAAGGATGACCCTTGTACGACCCTCTGTACTCTATAAAATAATGACTTAATCACTTAATCCCCGTTATTCATCGATTTACTTGAGCGGGTGCCAGTAACGTCTCCATTCATCCCGGTTGCGCACTAGAGTAGCCCAATGGCATCTGTTCGTTCTAGGAACATGTAGATCCTCAAACCGATCATTCAGGGTCTTGAAGAAAGAAGTCTGACCATCTTGTAGGTGGGCGTCCAAGCGGTCTTTTGATGTCCCGTGGAATCCAATCAGTAATGGCTCTAGTCCAGCGGTTATCTGTAAACCTCATTGCATGTCCAGCCCATCTGATTTTTGATGCCTTGGCAAATGAGACATCGACCCTGATTCTTGAGCGTTGACGAAGATCAGAACTCCGGATTCTATCTCACATTTGAGTGAATCATGATATTCCAAGCATAGCTCTTTTGATTCCTCTTTGAGAGACCTGAATAGCGTTCTCATCCTGTTTTCATAGGGCCCAGGTCTCTGAGGCATATGTTAATGCAGGAAGAACAGTGGAATCGAAGAGATGTGTTCGTAGCTGGAGGTTCTTTGTCCTCTTAGTTATTTCTTCAACGCTCTTGAAGGCATTCCAAGCTGTTCTCTTCCTCCTGTGCAACTCAGGTGCCAGGTCATTCATCATGTTGATTTCTCGACCTAGGTATATATAACTGTTGCATTCCGAGATGGTGGTTCCGTTAAGAGCGAATGGAGCATCAGGAACGAGGCTGTTTCTCATAAACATTGTCTTCGTAAGATTCAGCTGTAGTCCAACCTTTCCACATTCACAGTCGAAATCTGTCATCATTTGTGCCACTTGGCTGATGTTTGGTGTTATTAGAACAATGTCATCAGCAAAGCGGAGGTGGTATAGTTGCCAACCATCTATCTTCACTCCCATGCTTTCCCATTCCAGTCGTCTCATGATGTTCTCGAGGGTGGCACTGAAGAGTTTTGGTGAAATGGTATCACCCTGCCGAACCCCTCTCTTGACATGGATGATTATTTCTTTGTAGAATGGTGAGATCCTGGTAGTGAATCCATAATAGAGCTCACGAAGGATCCTGATGTATTGAGTTTGTACACCCTGATTGGCTAGGGCTTCTATGACTGCTTCTGTCTCAACAGAATCAAAGGCCTTCTTTAAATCACTGAACGTTAGACAGAGCGGCATCTTGAACTCCTGAGAAACCTCAATGAGCTTAATAATCGTGTGGATATGGTTGATGGTACTGAATCCTTTTCAGAAACCAGCTTGTTCACATGGTTGTCCTTCATCTAGTGTTCTGCTAATCCTATTCAGGATGACTCTAGTGAATAGTTTGTAGATGACAGACAATAGCAGATTGGGCGATAGTTGCCAATGTCGTCGATGTCTCCCTTCTTGTATAGTAGTACAGTCCTGCTGGTTTTCCATTGGGATGGAACCTTGCATTCAGACAGGTAGCGTGTGAAGAGTCGAGCCAATGTATTGATGAGTACTGATGGTAAGTTCTTCAGGTGTTCAGGTTTGATCTTGTCTGGGCCAGGTGCTCTTTGTTTCTTTACTGACGAGATGGCATGTTGGATTTCAGAAGGGAGAACATTGGGAACGACATATCCATCATGTGGAATGTGGTATGTGGGCAAGTGGACGTGGCTATTTAAGAGATCTGAGTAGAAGTCATGAATAATCTTCTCCATTGCCCTTCTGGAAGATGTCATATATTGAATTGAACTCTATATTGAGATAAAATATATAAAACTCAATTAAATTAACACTTCACCAAGAATAGTTTTCAGCCACACTCTCCTTCAGGTGTGAAGGAATGATACACAACTTCATAGATAAACAGCTCAGGAATTCCATAGACTCCAGAGTTTGTGGGCTGCTGGATTACTGCAAGTGAGATTAGAAAAAGAGAAGTGTCTCAGGACCATGTTAAACACAGGGCTTCTGGAAACCCAAGAGGTAATTCTGTTGTTTTGCTGGGCCACGTCAGAGGAGAGGAAGGATGAGGTGATCTGATGGGTGAGGAATTGCTGCTCACCTGAAGAAACTATTTCTTGCAAGTGTTTGTGACTCTGCTGGCCAGGTCACAGGAGAGGTGGGGTGAGGTCAAGCATGTTTTTTTCTCAAGAATACTATACAACATGGCAGGTAAAATAGGACAGTAGGCAGGGTGCTTGCCTTGTATGACTTCGGTTTTATCTCTGCACAATATATGGTCCTTTGTTCCCTCAAAGAGTGATCCCTGACTGCAGAAAAAAGAATAAGTTCTGAGCAGCAAAATGTGTGCCGTCTTCCCCCAAAAATGAATACCATGCATTTTACCTCTGAAGAACTAAGTTTTTATCTTTTTATAATTTGAAAGTGCATAAATCTCAGGTCTATTATATTATATCATGCTAATATGCTCACCCTTTCTCTCATTTTCAGTTTTAGGTATCTTACTACTTCCATGTAGTTTTTTTTTTATAGAAGATCATTTAGTTCATTTTGCAGAGCTGGGTTAGAGATGATGAGTTTCTGTATCACAACTTCAAATATGAATGGCAACCTGCATAGAGTATTGTTGTTTGGATGCCATTTTTTTAAATGTGTTAGATTTTTCATTCCATCCCTTTTTGCCTGTCCGGTTGGATTTGATAGCTCAGCTTAGAGGCTTATGGAATTTTTTAATTTTATTTTTTATTTACTCTTTCTACTTACAAGATTATCTTTATTTATTTATTTTTTTATATTTTCAATTTTGACATTAAATTACAAAGTAACTTTGTGTGTTTCTTTGTTTCAATTTGTTTGAAATCTTTTGAGCTTCTTAGATCTGTGTATACAATTCAATAATTAGAAGGAAAGCTCTTGCCTATGATTTCTTCTGTCAATATTTTACCCCTTTTTCTCTTTCCTGTTCTTTCAGAAGTTCTTTTATACAGATACTGTTTACTGTTGGACTGGAGCGATAGCACAGTGGGTAGGGCATTTGCTTTGCATGCGGCCGACCCGGTTTGATTCCTCCGTCCCTCTCGGAAAGCCCGGCAAGCTACTGAGAGTATCCCCCCCGCACGGCAGAGCCTGGCAAGCTCCCCGTGGTGTATTCGGTATGCCAAAAACAGTAACACCAAGTCTCACAATGGAGACGTTACTGGTGCCTGCTCAAGCAAATCGATGTACATGGGAGGACAGTGCTACAGTGCTACTGTTTGTAAAGATAAAGGACAAAGAACAAATCCATGTGTTTTAGTACACTGATACATGGTATGTTACCTTAAATAATAAAGTTTTATTATTGTAGGTATGCATTATAAATTTATTTATTGGTTTTGAGGTCACACCTGTCTATGCTAGGGCCTTATTCTCAGGGACCATGGCTAGTGGTGCTCCAGGGTCTATATGTAGTGTTAAAGATCAAGTGCTATCCAATGTACTGTTTCTCCAAGCCACATTTATTACCTTAAATCATGTGTAACACAACATTCCTTATTTTAATGGACAGAACTGCTAAATTTTCTACGTTAAAAAATTCCTCTTGTATTTCTCTTATAAAGACATGGATTGGGAATCGAAGAAGGAAATATCGTTTAATGGGTATTGAGGTTCCACCTCCAAGAGGAGGTCCTGCTGATTTTTCTGAGCAGCCTGAGTCTGGTTCTTTGTCGGCACTCACACATAGAGAAGAAGCCGGTCCTGAAGGAGAAGATAATGACAGAAATGATGAAGTATCCATCTGTTTGTCTGAAGGAAGCTCTCAAGGTATTTCACGTGCTGTACCTTCTAATAATAGTTTCTATAAATCTGATTTTTTTTGCTTTAAGCTTACTATACTTAAAATCTAAAGTTTTGAAAACACTTGGTTAAACATTTAAATATATGTAATTTTATTTTATTATTTTAATAATAATTACATATAAAATATGCATGATGATATGCATAGAAAAATTATTATTATAGTGAAACTAATTAACATACCTATCTCCTCATGTACATGTTAACCATGTGTTGTAAAATTTCCTAAAGTGTACTCTCAATAAATTTCAAGTATACAAGACAGTATAATTTACTATAACCATCATGCTGCTCATTAGATCTCTAGATTTATTCTTCTTGTATAACTCTAACTCTAAACCTGTTTAACACTATTTCTTCTTTTGCTGCTCCCAGTCACTCAAGAAACTACACTTCTACTTTCAGTTTTTATGTGTGTTTTGTTTTTTGTTTTTAGATTCCTCACAAATGTGATCATATGGTATTTGTCTTATGTCTTATTTCATTTAGCAGCATATCCCCTACATCCATCTATATCACTGTGTATTGCAATATCTTTGCAAAGACTATGTAACATTTCTTTATAAGTATTCTCTATTCATCTGTTGATAGATCCCTGTTTCTTTACCCTGCTGAAGGATTGATGGGAACATATGCTATTTCTATTTTTAGTGTTTTGAAAAGCTTCTATATAACCGTTAATAAGAGTTATACCAATTTGTATGCCCCTCAATGGTACGAATTCACATTCTAAACCATCCTTGAGTTTTATCTTTTTTTATTTTTAATGTCTCCCACATCAAGCCATCAGTGAAAACCTCTATCATAATAATCCCTTACATTTAGATATATTTATTACTAGTTTTCATGTTAGAATTAATAGATAATATATATTTATTGGAATTCTGATAAGTTGAAACAATTAGAAATGCATTGTAATGAACAAGAATGTTACCTAATATGACAAAATTAGGATAGCAATTAGGTAATCTGGACATAAATCTTAGATCCTCCACTAGTTTTATTATGACATCATAAGCAAAGTAAATCATATATTTTAGTTTTATTATCTGAAAATAAAACAGTTAGGCTAGATCATCTTTATAACACTTTTCAGGGTTTTCATAATGAAAATATAAACAATAAAATAAAATAAAGTTGTTTACTATGATAGAGTGTTCATTTGACTTCAATTGTAGAAAGATATCTGATACCTACTTAAAATGAGCAATTTTATTGTGGTTTAACTTATACATCATGAAATTTACCCACTGAAAAATTATAATACTTTTATGCTTACTAAAGTTTTATCATCATCAACAAAATACAATTTTAGAATATTTTAAACAGTACATAAATATCCTTGAATAATACAAAGATTAAGGTGTATGTGGTCAGCCTGGTTGGTCCCTTGCACTGCCTATACTTTTTTTGAGCAAAGAGACAGGAATAAATAAGGTCTGAGCACCATCATGAGTGGCCCAAAATTTAAAAAAATATTCCTTTATCCTATTTGTAGACAATCCACACTTCCACCTCTAAATTCAGGCAATCACTAACCTGTTCCTTAAAGTATAAATTTCTCTTTTCTTGGAATTTTATAAATAAAATATAAATTTTATTTATTTTATAAAATAAAATTTTATACAAATTTTATAAAATTTATTTATGGCACATAGTCTAGAATGCATGTTAGAACTACCATTATTATGTTGATTAATCCAGTATTTCCAGTTAAGTTTAACATTTTATAAACTACATTTTATATACTATATATAATAATACAGGCACACATATGCACAGTAAAATTCTAGATAGCTTTTTATATTATATTATCTGATTAAAACTATGCCCTTATTATATGTTATATATTATTAGTTTATAAAGATTTATAAGGTTCTCATTCATCTTAGTTCTTACAGCACACTGATTAATCTACACAACTTAGGAATTGCAGTTATATCTTTTATCAGCTCCCCTAAAATCTACATAATATTTTATTGACTCTGCATTAAATATAAAATGTGACAAGATAAGGTAAGAGTTACCTGTGTTGAGTTTTGGATGATATATGGATATTTATGGATCATTCAAGGAGAATGAAAGGAGAGTTATTAGAGAGAAATGAATATAAAAGTCACAAACATCAGGGCCAAAATAAAGTCTAGCCAAAGAAAAGAGGCAAAAGGGAGATGAACAGTCTCATAGTGTTAAGAAGTAGCCAGATTTGGTGGCTGGTGGGGAATAGATATAGATAGATAGATAGATAGATAGATAGATAGATAGATAGATAGATAAGATTCAAATCTATTAGAATGCAGGATGATATATAGTTGATAAAGGAAAGTTAATAAAGATGACAGAAGTAAGTTATTAACTCAGTGGATTCTTAGAATTTGTTAATAATGTCCTCTCATATAAGGGATCTAAAATAGTGAAAGTTTTATAAGTGGACAATAGAACAGTGGTTACCAAGAAATGGGAGTGGAAGAGTATGAGGAGTTATTGTTCAATGGATATAGTGACAGCTATACAAGAGAGTTAAGTTCCAAAGAAATGACTACTGAATTGAATTTACCACTGAATTCTCTGAGTATCATAGTTCTTACATTTGACAGTAAAGGATTGTATATGGAAAAACACATTCTGACAGGAACAAGACATAGGGAAACTTTTGGACTAAAGTGTTTATTACATTAGTATTGTATGATTAGGATTGTAGTAGCACAAAATGTGTGTTAACATATATCTCAACTCACCAAGCTACACACCTTAATAAGATGCAATTTCATTATAGTATTTAAACCTCAACAAAGTAGGAAAACAATACTTAAAACGAAGTAATTGAAATGGTGTTTAAAGTGTTCATCTCTGAACGATGAGAACAGTACAAGAGCAATAATTTGATTAATGTTAAGAGATAAGGATTGTTAATATTGAAATGGCCATGTATTTTAAGATCAAGTATTTGAAAAGTTATGCCTATTCAAATCTCTCTTTCAAACTTTTCTCTTCCTTCTCTCTCTTCTCTTCTTGTTTCTTCTGCATTCTGTCTTATTTTGCTATCATTCTCTCCCACTGTCATTTAATAAGACAATAAAAGAGAATTTTTGTACAAGAAAAATCCATGTCAGCTTGAAAAAATCACCAGGGAGGAGGCCAAAGAGATAGTACAACAGTTAAGTATTTGCCTTACACCTGTACAAAAAAATTCAATCCTCAGCACAGTAAAATTCCCCTGAGTACCACCAGGAGTGATCTCTGAACCAGAAGTGACCTGTAGAACAGCTGGGTGTGCCCCCCAAACAAAACAAAGCAAAAAAAAATCAGATAAAAAGTGAGACTATTGCATCATTTCAGTAAGTTAGTTTGTTCATTAAACCATTTTGCCCCCAATTAGTCATTCTTATACATTCCTGGGGGTATTTCAGTATGTTCAGTGATTTATTATTGAATTTTGAGAAACTGATGACTGTTAAGTACTTGCAAGTTTGTGGACAAGTATGTATTTGTGTGTTTTTATAAATGGTGAACTATGAGGAATATAATGATGAATAAATGTATATAATACTTTATTTGGAGTTTTATATCTTCACTCAAATTTCTTTCCTCGTCTAAGTGAATTTTCAAAACTTTAACAGGAAAATATGTGCTAACTTAAAGATTGGTAACTTCCCACTATTCCAAAGTTATCACCCATTATCATTCACTAGTGTTTTTTCAAAACAGCTGGCATTGTAACCTAGACTCACTTAAAAAAAAGAAATAACCAACATATGAAAAAAAATGGTTACTAACAAATAAGATTGCCTAGACTTTTTCTTAGTGGCCTTTTTTTCCCAGCTGAATGATAACCTTTTCATTTTTATTAGAAAAAACAACAGAAAATCCCCAAAACTTCAAATATTGAAAAAGAGATTCTTTGTATAGCTTTCTGCAATTTTGTCCTCCTTTCCTTCCTCATTTTGCTGATAGAAAATATTAATATACTAATTTGACTGTATGATCCTTTTGTGATTATGAAGTGAGTTTTTGGCGTAATAATATCATATGTGCCTTCAAAATATGCTAATGACAAGGGCCAGAAAGATACTACAATGTTTGGCTTGCATGCTGCCTTCCTGGGTTTGAATGCCAGTACTCCATATAGTCTCCTGAACCCTGCAGGAATGATTCCTGAGCTCAGAGACAGGAGTAATCCCTGAGCACCATCAAATGTGCCCCCCAAAATATGCCAACTATAGGCTTTGGTATAAGAATATATTTAGATATGCTTACATTGACAGCACCATTAATTTTAAAAAGTTAGAATTAAAAAATTAACAAATAAAAACCTAGCATCTTTTATTATATATGTATATGCATATATATTTATGAATATTCAACAGGGTTTGACTCTCCTAAGTCAAAGAAGAAAATAATGGGTTTTTTTCCTGTGCAAATAGGAAAATGATATTGCAAGCCTCCTTTTATTTTCTTTGTTTTATTATTTAAAGATCTTGGTTTGCGAAGTTTTTCATATTATCACTTTTATGGGCTTTTGATGTTCCAAAACAAATCCTACCGCCAGAGTGACCTTCCACCCCTGATTATCCCCATTTTTCCAAGCACCCCCTCAAACCTTCCCCCTTAGCAGGCACACAATAATTGACTTTCTATTGTTTGTTACAACCAAATGGCTAAATAATCAAAAATACTTTGGTAAAAGGAAATTTGTGAAAATTGTTGTTCTCATTACATGGCTGTTAAGTCTTTGATGATTCACTAAGCTGTTCATGACTAGTTGAGTCGCTTTATGTTGTTTTTATTGTTGTTTAATTTATTGAACTTAGAATTATTTTCTCATTTAAGGTTTTGTGTTCTTACTGGAATTTTGGTAGGGTGGAATTCTGAGGTGTTTATCAGTTCAACTTAAATTCTACATACTAAAACCTGACTAAAATTTTCCATTAAAATTATCTATTAAAAAGTTCAAGCATAAAAGGGGT